CACTTGTTGGGTTTCTCTCCAGAATGGACCCTCATGTGAATGAGCAGCTTGTAGCGTGCATTGAAGGGCTTGTAGCGCCGAATACAGCCAGCCCAGAAACAGGTGAAGTCCTCACCTTTGCGTTGGTCGATGTGGACCTTTTCAATATGTCTCACAAGCTCCTCCTGCTGCTCAAAAGCAGCACTGCAGTCGATCCAGCGACACACCTGTTTATCCACCAGCCCTCCTCCTCCGACTTCTTCCGGCTCGGGGGCTGCGTGGGCCACCGCGGGGCCTCCTGACGTTGGTTTGAGTCCGAGGGAAGAGCCCGGAGTTGTCTGCTGGTTGTGATGGTGCAGCGGACCGTTGGGAGTGGGCCCCACATATTGGTGCAAGTGGTAAGGCGGAGGCATGGCCGATCGAGGCGGGTGGTGAGCGTGACGAAGATTCCCACTGCGCCCACTTAAGTGATGGTGATGATGATAGTGGTGCTGAAAGAGTTTGTCTTCGCTGGGAGAGAAGTCATCGAGCGGTTCCTGCTTAAGGACAGCCCCAGATCTTTGGCCCCCATCTGGGAGACCCCCACCCTGAGGCCCCAAATGCAGAGTCCCAGACATCAGGGCCCCGCTCATCAGTAGCCCCAACCCGTCTGAGCCTCCTCCTCCTCCTCCCTCAGCTGTTCCTCCAGCCCCACGCCCCTGCAGCATGGAGCCCTGCTCCTCGCACAGCCCCAGGCTCTGCCCTCGGCCTTGCTCCGGCTCCCCTAATGAAACTGAAGAAGAGGATGAGGAAGAGGAAAGAGACAACAGGCAGGTGGCAGGTGAGGACAGCTGACAGCTCTCCTGTAGTGCAGCCTGCTGGGGGCTGCTGTGTGGTGGGGGCCTCTGGGGGGCTTCCCGTGAGCAGGAGTTAGAGGGTGGGGAAGCAGTAGAGGAGGAGGAGGAGGAGGAGAAGCCGGCGCTGCTGGTGTTGCTTGGCGAGAGGTTAGTACGGAACCCGTTGACGCAGGCGACCATCGACATCTGGGAGGAGGAGCAGATGATTGCGGTGATATTGATCTCCTCAGAAGCGGTGCCAACAGCTGATGGGGAAGCGGTGGCAGCGGCGGCGGTGGATTGCGAGGCCAGGGACAGGCAGCGTCTCTTCAGACTGCCAGCGCTGAGCAGCCGCGCTGAATGACGGGAGCCAATCGGAGACAAAGCCAGCGGGGAGGAGCCATCTTCATTATTAAACGGTTGTCCTGCGTCTCCTGGCACAGCGCTACCTACACCGCTCACTGCACATACGCCATTACCGTTGTTGCTAACACGCAGCGATCCAACCATCTCATCCCTGGCCACCTCCAAAACTTGGCCCGCAACGTGGGCCTGAAATCCAGCCTGAGATGAAGACTCCACGTTGGAGATCTTGTAGCCCATCGAGCTCTCCTGTTTGACCGGGTAAGGGAGAGAGGAGCG